GACGTTCAGTCCTTCCAGGTTTTCCATGGTGGTCTAGCTTCAATTGACTCATGATTTCAACTATTGAAATTTCTAAAAAAATCCCCACAAAACCCCTTCTATTCTATTTATTTTACAAATAATTTCATATTTCCTTATGAGTTTTGGTTGATATAAAAAATCAACTTGTAGAATGAAACTGCAAGTAATCCAAATCAATTTTTGATCAAACTAGACCAGATAACATTTTTTTAGCAAATTAATCAGTCGAATAATTTCATGTAGAGATATTTTCAAATTCCAGCTAGTTTTTTTTCATCATAAACTAAACCTAACGAACCATTTAGGAACAAAAAATAGTTGATGACGATTTAGTCTTATTTTGATGATAACATAACAGAAAACACTGCCTTTTGCATCTATACCATTGATACTAAATAGTAGGGTCTCTAGATGTTAGATACGAAATAATCCAATTAGTAGTACTTGACTCAACATACCCGGCAAACGACTGAGAATCAAACGTAGATCAGACAAAAGTTTATTCACAGAGTTTGAATCCAGAGTAGAATGAATAGACAACACAATATATCCCTAAGCATTTACGTCACTGGCTGTGTCTAACTTCTCTCACTAACCAATTAAATTCCACTTTCGGCTGACACATCAAAATATTAAGAGATTCACTTGTACTGTGCTACATAGAGTGAAACTCAGAAATGTTAAATATCGAGGAGCATGAGTTACCATTTAATTACTCATCAATTTTATGAAACGTTATAAGAATTTGCATAAATTTAAGGCAGTTTAGCAATAAAATTATTATCTATCTATGTAAATGATCAAAGCGAGGTCACATTGGAAAGCTATTTCGTCTTATTATGGGACTTCATAATAGTGGTTAGTTACCACTAGGTCAAGAGTCTGAAGCAATGATCTTCAAGCCTTGAGACTAGCTCCGTCCCCTTGGACCACTGAATTAGCATTCATAAGCTTCACGATACTTCCTGATACCTAGTTGGACGATCTCTACCAACTCGTTGTCTTGTTATTATCTAGTCAACTGATTTTAAACCACTTTCCAACTGATGATAACTGTTCTCAAGTTAGAATTAGCTGTATAATCCAGATAAAATTTTCACTTCATCCTCTAGTTTAATGATTATACTTTAAATATATATTCTAAAGCAATAATAATGAATCTTTGAAACGGAATTCCTATTTTCTAGATGTATCTATAATTTCGAGAAAATCCCGATTTTCATTATTTCTCAACTCTATATTTTGAATTATGAGAATCATATTTTTTTTTTGATTTATAGTTCATAATTTACAATTAAGTTGGTAAATTATAGTGTTTACATTCAACAACAAATATAATAATTTAGTAATAGTTTGTTTTTCCCTATGATAAATTGTAATAAACTAATTAGTATTTACAGTTGATATACAATTTACGATTATCAACAAAATCGAACGAATTAAAAGAATACTACATAACGAATTTGTTAGATAATGAACTTATAAGGGAAAAGAGTGGAGTACTACTGAAAAATATATTCTTATTATATAATTGCGAAACATTCGTTAGTTAACTCACTAAAAGTTGATATATATTTCATCGTTGGTACGGTTGGTAACTAATATGTACCTGTTATTTGGTTTTGTACTACTAATGGTCCAAATTTCTTATTTATCTTGCATTGTGGTCTTATATTTGATGTATATTATTATATGAAATTTTATTCATTGAATTTGGCAATAATGAAAGTAAATTGATTGACCTTTTTCTTGTTATGACTGGTAGCAGAATTTCTATTTCAACATCAACATACTTAGTGGGTAAGGCGAAACGGTACTAGTGTCATTCAGTGTAAAGTGAACCGATAGTTGATGAATTCAAGAAATCTGTGATCCTATTTTGCATGGGAATCTATTAAGTGGACATACCGATATAAATTCATACCAGAATTGAATCAATGTTCTAAACATCCTATGTGTAACCGCTAATAACTCGTCTTCATTTAATTTGATTGTAATTCAGAGGATTGAGCCAACTTGTATTTACCCAATAAATCGCTTTTCGGAAAGCAGTAGAGTGAATGGTCCAATGCAGTCACATGTTTTCAAAGGGATATAAACATAACATATGTGAATGCGTTGAGGATATTTTCTATTTATTTCTTGATAGTAGATTTTACTGAAAACATTCTAAGATTCTTTTTGACATCCTAAATACTTCGTTAGTTGATGTTTTTGTACGCCAACAAACTATTTAAAACATTGTGTTCATTGTTACATTTTTTAAAACTTCACTTGAGTGAAGCACAAATGTATTCATATTGAAGTATGTAATATCTATCACTCAGGTGATAAATACGTGCGACAACAATTCGAAACTAGCACTAAATGGATTAGTAAATATATATGTAGCTAAAACCCTTGCTTTTTGGAAAGATGTTTCCATTTAAGACCCTAGAATCAAATCGTCTTTTCTTAGGAATTTACGGAATATCACGTTATGTTTTGTGCATGCAAATCTTGTTCATGAATAAATCGTAAACTTAATAGTAATGCTTATTTAATATGGATTGTATTTGATGTATGAACGAGAATGATTGGTTGTCTGCTTAATCAGACATGTAGATAGTCTGAAAGGTGTCAGCTGATTTATATATTCCCGTATTCTTATTATTATTTACTTACTATTGATTGTTCATTGATCGATAGCATTCGATCTGCACTAATAAGGACTAGACACGCATGACACTGATCACCACTCAGTGATCAATCAATTATGATTGTTCATTGTTGTTGGGTTGTGTCGGATTTTGGTGTGGAAATATATTGACGTTGTGGTCAGACTAATCACGTGTTCTTGATCTGAGTTGTGTTGAAGTCCTGTAGAATAGACACTGGGAGGGAATCTAGTGTAGATATTCGTCTAAGGCAAATTAACATTCCATACGTGTAAACCCAACCGTTATAACATTAGACGAAGTAAATCCGAGCGTTATAACAATATTCTATTGTGAACAATGCTAATCAGATAAAAGAATGAGGTAGTAAAGAGAATACCTGATGAAATTCTCTTTCCTTGCTAAACAGATCTTGACAAGCCATTTTATCCGAATAAATTTAGTGACAAGAAAATCTTTTCAGACCAACAACCTTAAATTACTTGCGTTAACGACTACGAAGTTTAATAATGAATTAGAGTAATAAATGAAGTCCCTGTTTCTGGTGATTAATTACGCCTTAAGATGATATAAACAACCTAAGCACAAATTAGATCATCAATGAAGTAAACTGTTAAAAAGCATATTGATAAAATTATTATTTATTTGTTATGAAGAGCGTTCAGGATGGGAAATATGTGCGGAAAGCTAAATTGGAGCTAAGTGTTCGTCAAGGGATTCATATCAACTAGGAATCACTGAAAACAAGTATGAGGTACCAGAAAAAAGTCTTGTTCTAGTTTGAAACCAATGAGGAATCAAACTCAAAGATTTTAGAGCTAACAGCAAATTCAACACTTCTCGACAAATGAATCGGAATTTAACAGGTACCATTTCCAATTTTAAGTAGTTCAGCATATTGCGGGACGTTAATCAATGTGAAGTGTTCCATTCGTGACATGATTGACCTAAGGTGATCATTGCATTTCATCAGAACGTCAGGAATTTATCTGGCATTTAATCATAAAATATAATTTTACACGTCTAAGAACCCAACATAAAAACATAGAACAATGTATAGATCCAGCTGACAAGTGTCAAACAGAACGAAACGCGTACATACTTCGGCCACAATTCTAAAACAGTAAAAGCAATACGCTCTGTGTAAACTGACATATTTAAATACATTACAACTTTTTACTGTGTTTGGTGATCTCTGATAAAGATTTGTAGTGTTAACGAGTACCAACTAGCCTGAAATATAAATCCTGAGTATGATAGCACCTTTAATCGCTTAACATAGAATAGTGATATTTAATTTTTTATGATTCTGCAATTAAACTTGTTAAGAATAATGAGTGGTAATTTTTGGGATCCATTTGTGGACCAATACTATACGTACATTTTTATCGTATAATTGTCAATTAACTAAACTATTCATATTCATGTCTCTCTTATCATAAGCTTTATTATAACCTATGAACTGTTATTATACGATTTTCCATTCTTGAATTATTCCCTGTCTATGAGTCACTGCCTCCCTTATTCACAGCCACATTTGGCTAATTCTTGTACAAATGTCGTTTCATATTTTATTGGTACGTTGTGGTCTGTTTGATTGGTGTATAAACTCAGTATGTTTGAAATACATAATTCATATTGCAGAGGTTGAGATTGATGTTCTGGACTTAACTGGTTGGGCTAGGCGGAAAGCAGGACCAATCAGGACTCTAGGCTGCTCATACGGGTTTATGCGCCCTTGGTCCGATCGATAATTCACTGCCCTATAATCGGCGGTCACAAGTTATAACAAAAGTCAGTCTACAATGAACACAATTTGTATTTCGAAAGAAATTCCTAAAACACACCAAATTAATCAACATTTACAGAATAACGTTAAAAAATAAGGAATTATATTGTTCGATGTATCAATACCCTGAATAACTTAATTTCACTAGTTCAGATTCTAGACTCCAGCTATATTAGTAAATGATGTATAAAGTGGAAATTTCTCAGTGGCAAACTTAGCCATAGAGATTTGTGGTGAAAAATTGACATTTTAATTTCGATCATGTGAATCAAAATGACTGACAACAATTTTCATAGATATGTATAGAATAATTGACTAGTGATCAAGATTTCAAAGGAAAAAAGTAGCAGCTTTCATAATTATTTATTAAATATAAATCATAATCTGTTTATGTATATGGAGTGTTTTATGTACATAACATTTATATATATATATATATATATATATATATATATATATATATATATATATATATATATATATATATATATATATATATATATATATATATGGTGATGAATTGTTGAAATGCATTATTCTCCTTCACATGGATCAGTTGAAGATGTTGATGAAGAAAGATTGCGTTGAGCCTGAAGACGCCTACTTCTTCTTCGTATTTGATTTCTTTGTGTTTTGAAATCATTTTCATGACTAGTATCAATAATATTCAATGTGTGCATATCACTGATCATCATTTCCGTTGCAGCACTATCATCCGATGAATAATTATCAAGTGTTTTTGTCAACATCTTTGGAACTACATCCATTTCATTATTATCCAATTCTATTTGTACAGATTGTTTTGTGGAAATATCAGTTGAGTTTGATGAAGTCACTGTTTTACGTCGATTTTTTCTAGAAGAATTTCTATTAGATGGATTCACTGGTCTACCAAGAACAACATTATGTGGTTTTGGTGTTAAATAAACGGAATCTTTCCCAGTTGGTGTTCGATTTAGTAGAATATCGAAGCTTTGACAATATAATTGTTCTACACATATAAATTGTATAAAACCTATACTACTGGCTACCGCAACCCATGTTGCACTTGTTGGATTCGGATTGAAACGAACCTGTGAGGGAGATTAAGTAATAATCAAAAATTCAATGACCATATCAAATAATTACATGATTTAGGGAGACTGTATAAATGACTGGTTTACTTTTTACTTGAAATTATCGAGTGAACATCAATGCTATCACAAATGTGTTTGGATGCTGTTGGTTACAATGCAGCAAAAACCGTCTGTGAATATTTAACTGAATATGATTTTATCTATGTTTTACAAGCACTTAGATAACATTTATCAAATAAATATGATTAATATTTTCTGTTGCTTAACTTGAAACGAATAATGAAGGGAAAACGTTCTTGGTTTAGTGTATCTCATGACTTACCAGTCATTCTTCCGGACTAAGAACCAGAATACAAACTTTTGATTATTTCACGTATTCAAATTTTTTATAAGTTGTTTTCCTTTTTTAATGTATATACCAAACACAAAACATGTAAGCACTTATGTGTAATTTACCAAAAAACCATTATTTGTACACGATATTAGAGTGTATTTTAAAAAGTCGACTGGAAAACTAATGACTTAAGTGAGGAAAAACTATTTATGAAAATAATAATTGATGGGTACAAATCAAAACCATTTTATGATCAATTTGAGTTGTATGATGATTGATAAAGCTGTGGAGGTAATCGATGATATGACAGGAGAAAGCGTTACAGTGTCATAAATGTTTTTACAGTTCATTTGGTCAAATAAATTATTACAATTATGTGAAAAATAATATTTTATTGTGTTAGTTCATTTTTAATGATCTTAAAAAGATCGTATTAACATTATAACAAGTTTATCTGCATTATTTTACTCTACATGTCACGTTATCGGTAGTAAATTATCATATTTTTTGTGTCAGTATACAAATCACATGGCAACGTGTACAAAAGCAATCATATTGGTGGGAAAAAGGGATTAGTTTAATTATCTACTTACATAATAACATCGACTTTATACATTTAAATATATTTCTAGATCATAATAATTGATCGCTGAGTAGCAACAACACAATATTCTCTAAACCTCAGTGTTAAGCGAATTTTATTCACGAAACTGAAACAAGATTTCTAGTCTAAGGAACTAGACATCGCGTTGCCATATATTTAGTGCTAGAAGTAATCATGAGGAAGCCTTAGACATAGAATCCATGTTAATTGGTACTCGTCACCAAGATATCTAAAATTTTGAGAGGATCGATGGTTCTTAGCGAATTAAAACCTGCATAAAAGTAAGAAATACTTGATGACTCTGAGTCCTACGGAGAAAATCAGTTTCCATAAGGTAGCATATATATTCCTACTAACAGGAAATACAGATTCAAAGCTTTCCGTACATTGCCGCCTTTAGTCTGCCAACGTACTTTTATATCAGTAGACATAAAACATTTTGAAGGAACGAGATGGAATGAATAATGATGACATATTATTTTCACATAAAAAGATGTTTCTCAAAATGAAAAAAAAACAAAAATCTTACTTTATTTATCTTCAAAATAGGAGTATTAATGAAATCCAATTCAGGTTTCTTAGGCACCTTATCCTAATTAAAAATGTATGGTGAATAAAAATAAAACAAATTCAGATAATAAATGATGTTTCAATAGATAAATTCAGGGAATTGATTTTATTTAGTCAGTAAAAAGTCAATTTGTAGAGGTAGAATTTTACACTAAATCCATAGATTTTAATTGTAGTAGTGATTAAAGAGTGGTGTTTAGCAACAAGTAGGTTAATGAATATTTTTAAACACCTTTAAATGATAAAAAAAAGTGCTTGCTATGAATTTCCAGTTAAGTTTAATCAAAATACTTAGATAAATGTGTACAGACAAACTATAAATATATTTCCAAGAGAAGCTGTGTTCAACCAGTGTATATGAAGAGCGTAATATCGAGTTTGAGGTCGCATACATTTGGAGAATAAAAATATAAAAGAGCGACCGAAATCGAAATAGATGATGTGAGATTTAAATCAATTATGTAATGAATGAATATCATGGGACACGTTTACAAAGCTACAATCCCATTATGTTGAAAGAAAGTCATTTACATTTGTTTACAAGTTGATGAGTGTTTGCTTCTCTGTTCAACAGAATTGTTTCTCAATAACAAATCGTTTCAAAGATATCACTATAAAAATATATATGAAGTCGAATGAAATTTAAATCAATACATCAGTTCAACGTTAGTCCATTAATCTAAAAAGCAGGAGGTGGAAGTTATGTTTTTAGCTATTGAAACACCTCTTCAAAACAAAGATCTTCATTCATTTTGTGTTCAATAATAATTTTTCTGAAAAGATATCTTTCATTCAGATACCATCATTGTACACTAAATGCCGAAATCAAAGAGTGTGCGTTCAAGTATATTGAAATAAAAAACGTAAGACTTTATGTCCACATTCAAATATTGAATTCCAATAACCTACACACATTTCGACAGATAATTAAATATATGATACACATAACCAGCACCTGTCAGAGATATCAATTAAACTGCTAATCAATATAATATAAACAAAGAAACAATCAGATTATACAACAGTATATAGCACTGAACTTTATCCATCATCAACACATTTGAAAAAAAAACTACAAATACAACAAAAACCTTTTTGTTTAGTACACTTGTATCTCAGAAATAAATGCGTAGAAAAAAACCCATATCAACACAGGAATAAATAAGATAATATCAAATAATGCATATATAATAATGCGAATAGTCAATTGACGCATTGTTTACTTGGAAACACGAAAGCACAATATGATAATACAGAAAAAAAATAAAAGACTAATGAAATGATTGTTTTCTTTAATGTCTTTGATGTTTGAAATATTCCCATATTGTAAATTTAGAACAACATATATAAGCGAACAATATTGTTTTTGATTAGATCTTCATCAGGCATTACTCTAATATACAGTAATATTTATATGCGTATATGAAATTGTTAAACCAAACAAGGTAGTTTACGAGTCAATGATAACAATGGAAACAATTACATAATATGTGAAAAGTACAAATTGATAGTGTGATGACAGGGGTACTAGGTTTGATAAGAATAATAAAGGCTCAAATCAATGCATATAAATAATACTGTATATTAGAGTAAAGCCTGAAGATCTAATCGAAAACAATATTGTTCGCTTATATATGTTGTCTTTGATATTACCAGTAAATTAGTTATTATTTTAAATCACGTTTTCAATGGTCACTTTAATTAGGTTTGATTACACACATTGAATAGTAAAAATTATGTTAACAAAGATATATAATTATGGGATGAAACAATCTTTGTATGAGATGGGATATATTGTGATAACTGGTAATGAACTAATCAACATAAAAATAAATATTGACCGATAAACAGGTATAATCTATGTTGGTGATATGTTAGACAAGAATTAAGCTTCATTACATTGATTATTTAATGACCTATGAAATTTGATTATATTATATTTCAGTTGACTTTTAATTGATTTTGCATATAAGCAAGTAATTTTAGTAAAGTGGGAATCTATTCCACCGACTAGTGATTTTGACTTTGATATAAGTTTATTTGGCATTTTGAGTTAATAATCCGGTTTCATGAAGAGCCATCACTAGATCGTATCGTGTTACTGTGCTCATCTGTCAATCAGGATTCTATTCATTTATTTTAACAGTCTTTCAACCGGAAATCATTCAAGAAAAATCACAACGCTTAGCAGTTGAACAAAGTATCAATGTACATCAATTCAAGTTGACATAATGCATCAGAACAGTGACAGGAAGTTAAGACACAAATCACAAGTGATATTCGTATCGATTATGATGAAAAACGACATATACACAATGCACTTCAAAAAGAACATAAAAAAATAAGAAGTACAGATTAATAGTAAGACATAAAATTAAAAGGAAGATATGAATCCATCTGTACTATTGTGAACAATTTTGATCACATAAGAAACCCAGCCAATCTGACGTTAAGATTATTTAATCGATCTCAACCAGGACGTATGCGCTTGTTGACACGACTTAGTACTATAATTAATGACTTCATAATACAGCAATATAACTTTTAAATATCACTAACACATATTTTCTAAGTTTCAACAATGGATGACAACTATCTACTACTACTATATAACACAGCACACGTTTTTGCAGATTATCACATTTGACATCCATCGAGGACGTTATTCTAACAAAAATTCCAATGAAACATTGACACTTTTTGACTTTCCACTGTAAGCTTTAGTTAGCAAGTATTCCAAGTTAGGTCTCAACGTCGATTGTATTTGTGTTCCATAATGTTTGCAATTGGCGCCTGCATTAACATATCTATAATACGTCTAAATCCTAAGCTCGAAAATCCCCTTGACTCGGAGGCTTCTGAGTGTCCGGTCACTGAAGCCTGTTGTCTAACTTAATACAATCAGTCAGTCAACAACAACGTAGAACTTCGTACGTACGTACATCAGCTCAAGTTGCCATACCACATTAGCACAGAGATACAATTGTCCATTCAAATCTCATAGTGGTAGAGGTAGTAAAAGTATAAGTAGTAATCGGAAAGATTAGGGTTTGAATAAGTTATCCAAGGAGTACAAGGTTCATAAAAAGGAAGGACTTTATCTAAAGTTTGAATTACTGATAATATATATATATTCAAAATATTGTCCTTACATTTAACAAGATCCGTATTTGATAATTCGACCAAAGCTTATGCCAGCACATAGATTGATCAGTTCCACAATGTTCACAGTTAGGTGAAGGAAAAAGAAAGTGTTGAAGCTCTGCATCATTCAGTTCTCCAACATCCATCTCTGATGTAAGGGCAGAAGTAATGGTGGTACTGGTTGTAGTAGTATTAGTAGTTGTAGTGGTAGAAGCAGCAGTATTAATCGGTTCAAGATCAATTTTACATTCATTAATAAATGCATTAATATCTATTATGTCATAATCACATTTAGTTAAATCCACTGTTTCTTCCCATTTTTCTTCAATTTTTGATGGGGTACAATGAGCAAATTCTTCTGGTGGTCGTTTTTCCATGGTCCATTGACATAATGGTATTCTCATCTACGTAAATGCATTAAGAATGAAAAATAGGTAAATTCTACCTTAAAACTAACAGAAAACTGGTTGGCAGCATAAACATAGCCCTGAAGTAATACTTGATTTTTTTTAAAAATTGGTTAATGATTATACATCATCTCATTCATTAAGTACTTGGGTATGAGCTAATGATACTAACTGGTTGCGCAAACTGAAAAAGTGGATCAGAGTTCGCGCCTAGTATTTAATAGCTAAAAGTTGAACGTCTTAACCGCTAAACCACGGTTATATATTCGAGCAAAGTTTATCAGTTCCATATATGCAATAATTTACTTCTCAAAGCAACTCGATGGTAGTGAACAGACGAAACTACTCCAGATGACTTACCCTACAGGATATTTACATTTCGTTAGACTCTATATTTTGGAAACAACAAAACATCAGCTTTATGTGAGATGTGACATTATAAGTGGCTAATTAACAGTTGGAACTACCAGAATTAATATATCGAACTATGCTTAACTTTTGAAACACTGTGAGCTACTCTCAAACGTAAAAGCTAGAGTCTACACTTTCACAACGAACCAGTCAATGCACTTTTCTAGTGAGAGGGAGAGAAAACAAAACAGTTTTCTTGTATTTAAATAACAATTAGTTCCATGAAAACAAATAATGATTCATATGTATTTACGGGTATGCCAAAAAGACCCATAAAGACAAAATATTAAAAAAATAACGACACGTGAAAGGTTAAATAATCTGTATATTATTGATAAGAAAAATCTTTAGTCCATTATGTGTGGGTACTCAATGATCTTGGCCAATCCGCAGGAAGTACAAGATGGAAATCTCATTTAATTTTAGGGAACTGATCCTCTTCATCTACTGTTTAAGTTAGAGACACTATCATTGAGGAATTTTAAAATTTTAATCATCTGAGTAGCATTAGAATAAAAATAACCAAGGATCGACATCGACTGGGGAACCACTGAAAACCAAGAAGGAATAAACAGTAGACTGTCCTACTTTGAAACTCATAAGCATTCTCCACTCATAACTTCAAATTGGAATTAAAACTAGGCCCTGAAATTCAAGTGGTAAAAACAATAACTCTAGAACAGTGAGTGGTAGTTTTCTACTAACCCGTAACTCATATCAAAATATCAAGTATATAATATAATCAGTCATGCTGTTAAGTGAATTACTGAAACATTTATTGCACTGGTTAACTGATTATGATTCAAATCAATTTTAAGAATTAATCTTGATTGGCTCCAATAGAACTAAATAACTCAACAGGGAAAATCATTGACAGTAATAAATAACTGTATTTTTAATTCATTGAATATATATTAAGATGAACGTCACAAGATAGGACGTTTCCTGAATGATGAAATTAATGGAGAATTTCATTTTATGAAAATGCTTTTCAACCTAAGAAAAAAATAACACTAATGCATTACATAGCATTGGATCAGGAGGAAAAAGTAGGACTAAAAAACTAAGTATGTTAGGCGTTATAAATTGACAGAAACTCCTCTATCATATGACAAAAATCAATCAATAACATTTATTTAGTGTTCGTTTTTAATGTTCACTAGACAAATTTTTTTGTAATATAGGACAGTTAAAGATATGTTATTACAAATATCAAGATAAAATTCAGAAGGGTTAATAGAGAAAGATATAGATGAAGTGTGACAGAAAAATTTGAATGAATTTAACATTTTTATAGAAAGATTCATTAAGATCTAATTATTATTTATCGTTTATCATTTAAAGTAGATGATTGAAAACATGATAAAAAAAGAAGCAATATCTATCTATATCTGGCACTGATTTAAGTGATTCAGATAAACAAATTCTAGGATATCATTTGTATTCTCAGGAATCAATAGTTCCAGATATTCATGGTATTCACTAAATAAGAAAAATCCGCCCATTAATAGAATGGATGAACAGATAGAACAGTAGAAAATTCTTGTGAAATAAATATGATTGAAAGATCGACAGAATAATGTAGAAGACGGTATGACAGTGAACGGATTTACCTTGTCACTACTTTATAGTACAAAAAAAGATATACAAGATAAATAGGGAGAATATAAGTTATAAGATATTTGGAATTTCATTGAAGAAGACGAGACGAATTCTTATGAGGACTTACGTTATATCTTAGTCTGATCAGTTTAAGCCTTTTTAAAGTTATACTAGTTTATCTACGTTAGGAAATATATTTTTTAAACTATCTGAGCGAACAAATATTTCTATATTTCGAAGTTTATCGTCTAAACAAAGACGATTATTGTTGATTTGAATTTCTATAGCTTACAAGACGAATTTCATTGTGAAAATTGGAAGGTAGAGGATAAAGCACTTCGAATGCTTTAATTTTATCGACTCCATGATCACCGTTAATTAATTATATGGGTAATAATTATTTGTTGATAAATCGATATCAAGTAGGATGCTAACATAATTAAAAATAATGAAGATTTTAGTGGAAAGTTTTTATTCTTTTGAATGAAAAGCTAGTTCAAATGTTTACAGTCGAGAAGTTGGACAATTTAACAACGTTCCTTATAGATGAAACACATTTTCTTATGACTAAAACAAAGAACAGATAAGCGCCAATTTGAATATCACTTATAAGCAATCGTGAGGAACTTCAAAAAGCTTGGTCAAGAATGTTCATATCAAGATATAGTAATGAAATCACTTGGAACAATACATATTACTATTTAGAGATAACGTGAAACTTTTAAAATGCATCATATTTTCTACAGTTTTAAAAAAAGTTTACTGAAACATCGATAAATAATTATCATTTAGGTGAGCAATAAATTTTTTTCTAGATGGAGGTCTAATTATGAGAAAACTATCGAAATTATTATACTCTACTCTTAAATAACAAAAATGAATTTCTTGTGAAACCATAAGTATGAAGAAAGTACAAATAACTATAAAGAATTATTATAAGCATTGTATTTTCCATACTGCCATTCGCAAAACATCAATTGCCACAAATGCTCTTGTATCATTTGAGTGATAACCGCAGATACAACATGAATTCTTCTAGATCCTATATTTATTTATCCAAGAAAAAACTCAGTATTCTTATGTTACTTAGCCTCATTATAACGCAATCCAGAAAATTACAAATTTTAAATATCGTACAATCTACTAAGATTTATACAAGGCAAATGTATTTAGTCAAATATTCATTAGATCTAATTGGAATGATTTTATAGATTATGATAAATAGCCATTATACATAACATAAAATGGAAATTAAGCACATAATTTAGATTTTCCATAAAAGATGACGGTCAGCCGATTACATTATACTGAACTGATATTATGCTAATAGTGAACAGGTGCCAAAATCCTCTAAACTCTCCACTTCCCTTAAAACAAAATCATTAAAAGATTGAGCAGTGACACTGCGAAAACAGAATATGGTAACGAAGCTTTTTTTTCCTTTATAGTCAAATTTGACGTTGAGTTGTATCCAATCATTGTGCAAAACTTTGTGAAATGCATTATAAAACGTGCTACAAATTACTAGTTCGAGTAATAGTCAATAATGTCTGAAAATACAACAACCTCGACGCGTGAACAAAAACAATGCTCTGAAATTCGCTGTTTAAATCAAGAGCGAAAATATCCAATAGTTATGAATACAAGTATTAAAATCACGAGAAATCAAAGGAATAAAACCGATTATTTTTGCCTACTATGGCAACCAAGTGTATAGTTAAACTCTATCTATTTCTAATGTCGAAATGCATCAATCTACTAAAAGATATTAGAAAAAATATCCACTCTACTGTGCTTAAGTATTGGCATACTTGTATATGGTCAAAATGTTAAGTTGGTGTAGTGGTAAGGGTCAACTATTTCTTTCGATAGATTTTCTTCATATTAAATAGTCACCAGATATATATATATATATATATATATATATATATATATATATTGGGGAGGGAATGAGAATTTTCTTTTTAAAAAAACCATAAATAGGAAGTGAACCGCAGTCATCTTTTAAGCATCAGAAAACATACAACTGAAGATTATTATAACATAATCAATACTAAAACTATGAATTTAATCAATAATAACAAATAATTTATTGTTGTTAACTAGGATACAGTTCAATTAATAAAGCAGTCTACCCTAAAAGTTGTTTTGTCTTGCAGTACCCAAAAACATTTTTTTGGGAAGTATTTTGTTATTAATAGAATATCTTATAGTTTCATGTGGTTAAGTGATCTATGCATTTGTCTTATTGTATTGTTCGAAAGAGGTTTGAAATACAATCAGCTTGGTACGATTTGGTTAGCATGAAAAGACGATTTTAAATTAATTTATTTTTTTCACGTGTTGTTTAGTCTATGAACACTCTTTTTTTTAAAAACGAATGAAAAGTTATATTAGCTTACACCATTATTTTTGGCTTAAACAATTTATTAGATAAAATAGTAACATGATGATGAATGGGATTAAGATTCTTTCGTCTTTAATACCATTGTCTTAATTATCAGCTTTGATTTCCCTCGCCATAAGTGATTCGATGTAAACTGTGAAAACTATGACAGGTGTATATTTGTCCATGATGTTTGCAACTATATTAAAAACTAAACTGAAGTTTATCGGCTTTAATATTTTGATTGATTAGAATAAGAACACGCAATGAATTATAAAACAACTAGATAGTCAAAATAGTAATTTTAAAATGCTTTTACTTAAAATAATAGTAATGCACGTATTAAAAATGAATGAATAATGCATTCATTTAATACCGTAATTCCAAGAAATTTGATTAAACAAAGTCGAATTTTTAAAAATGAAGACATTGAGAGATCCATAGAGAATGAAGCAGTAAATAACAAATTTTAGATTGAGAATATAATTAAAAATATAAGAACTGAGAATAGCATAAGGTTTTAGATGACTGGATGGACAAACTAAATGACAGCCAAATAATAACTAATGAACTTCGTAAAACTTAAGGGTTGACTAAA